AAAATTTAGCTTTATTTCTAACATATATAAGTTGATATAATTAACTTTAGAGATATGATTATCCTATCTTTTTTCTATAATAATTCCTACCTCTGACCTCTTGTGCTTATATTCTTTTGCTGCTATTCAAAAACTGTGATACTTTTTAGAATTTTGATAAGAAGTTTTCCTTCTCTTTTAGAGATATTTGTTTCTTCTAAACTTATAATATTTAATTTCTTTTCTTTGATAAAATCTAAAATTAAGTCAAATTTGTTTTTATTTGCTTTAAGTCCATTTATATTGTGATATCCAATATTCAGTCTTTCTAAATTGTCAATATTGTCTTGAGGAGGTTGGTTATTGTCTATATGTTGTATAAGCAGGCCTTCTATCTTGCATTAGCTCTTTTGGGTACCTATGGCTACTTTTAGAAGCAGTTTAGAGTTTCCTCTTTTCTAGCACTTGTGTGTTGCTCTTGTTTGGTTTCTTGCTTATCTAGTCTGTTTAGAATTTGGTTTAACAACTCCTCAATTCTGCTACTTTCTTTTTTAAGTGAGCTGTTTTTGTTAGTATTTGTCTTTGTGTCTCTGCTATTTTCTGCATTTGGTTTGCTCACTAGAGGTTTTCTAGTCACAGTTTCTTTTTCTAAATTCTTCTTTCTATTAGATAATCTTTTATTATAGTTTGATTAGTTTTACTTTTTCTCTATACATAAATTGTTTTCTTTATCTTTTATAGAGGTTATCACTGCTTTACCTTTTTTATTTTCTAGATCTGCTAATTCTTGTTTTCTTTCTTGTTTTTTTTGGTTTTTAACTAGTTAATTTAATTTTGTATTGTAATAATACACTAAAAATTTGTATGCTGTCTGCATATCTTTATTGCTCTTGAAGAAAATGCTAGCTGTTTGCTGTTGATTTCTATTTCTGTTCTTAGATATATATATTGTTTTGCTTTTGTGTTTTTAATTTGTCTAAGGAAAGCTAATTCTATTGCCAATCTGGAGATATCTTTGATTATCGTTTTGTATTTACTTCTCTCTTAAAGTATTTTAGTATCAAATATGCCTTGTGTTAGTCTTGACATTTTTCTCTCTTCAAGATGTATTGCCCAAATCATTTATAATAGCTCTTTTTTCTTTCCATCTCTTGGCTTTATTTGTATATATGCTGCTTTGTTTTTGCCATTTGCTTTAATATTTACAACTGCTACTTTTTTATAAAAACTAAGATATTTTCTGATTTGGTTGGTTCTCGTTTTACTTGGGATATCCCATACTGTGATATTAATTTTTTTTAGTTTTTTCTTTATTTTAAGTCTATATTTTTTAAAATCTTTGGGTGCCCAAATTGGTTTGTAGATATTGTTGTTGTTTATACCTTCTTTAGAATCATTAGATTTATGATTTTCTTGTATCAGCTCTTCAGTTTCTTTGTCACTCTTTTTTTTTCCAAAGAACTATTTTGGGAATTTGAGTAGCTTTCTATATTTTTGACTATTTCTATATTATCAAATTTCTCATCCGAGTTAGCTGTTTGTATAGCTTTTTTGTTTTCTTGTTTATTTTTGTTTCTAATTTCTTCTGTTCCAAAATCTGGTTAACTTACTTCTTGTTTAATTAAACTACCTATCAGACTGTTTGTATCTGAGCTTTTGTATTACTATTGCTATTTTTATTGCTAGTAGGTTTTTTTTCATCTTTTATTCTGATATATTTGCAGTAGTTGTATATTTCTATAATATTTCTAAAAAGACATATTATCTTCAATGCTACATTTGTTATTGCTGCTAGCTCTCTGTCTATTCTTAATACTTCTGGCTCATAAACTTTCTTTATTTCTTTGAATTCATCTTCTGTTCTGGTAAAGATTTGTTGGTATTTGTCTAACTTCCTATACCAGTTTATACTATTAGATGTTTTTTAATTATCTTGTATCACTGATCCTTGTATTTTGTTCTTGGTTGCTATAGTATTTTGCTTATATAATTTGTTTATGAAAAAAACTCAATTATTATAAAATACACCTATAGTGTTTTAGTACTATGTATAATTGTATTTAATAAAATTTAGGGTTAGGGTTTAGGTATTAAGAATTATATATTTTTTTTATATATAATATAATCAGGGTTGGTCAAATTACTAGTCAACCAAAAATTCATTGGTCAAACTAGTCTGGTTAAATTGGTCAAATGGTCTAGTTGAATTGGTCAAATGGTCTTCTAGTCTATTCCAAAATAAATAAATAAATAAATAAATAAATATATATATATATATAGTATATATATATTTAAATATCCTTTGACCAATTTGACCACTACTAAACCCTTTGACCAACTGGTCAAATTGGTCAAACTGGTCTGGTTAAACTTGACCATTGACTGGTCTATGCCAACCCTAAATATATTATAAAGCTAATATAAAGCCTGATTTTAGTTTTTATAAGATTTTTAAAGGTCTTGAATATTTTTATTTAAAGTACTTAATACTATTTACTTAGTATATTTTTAAAAAATAAGAACCTAGATAGTAAAACACCTTAGGTGCATTTTAGTAAAAGTGTAAAAACTTACCTTACTTTAAATAGCAAGCCAATAATTATAATATAATATATATTATGAAAGTTATATTCATAATACCATGTTATATAATATACTATATTAACTCTATGCTATATTTCAAAAACATTCTAAGTAAATGAGATCAGGTATCTTAAGTAAAAATATTCAGGACCTATGAAAACCTCATAAAAACTAAAATTGAAACTTTATATCTAATATATATTATATTATATAAAAAACACTTATATATCTTAAAGCTATACCCTAACTCTAATCTAACTCAAACTTAAACTATATAGAGTATTATAATAACATGGTATTATAAATATAATATTTCTATTTATTATCTTATAACTTAATATTATGCGATTTATAATAATAATACTAGTTAAAATTTTTTAATATAATAGAATAATATAAGAGTAATATATATAAAAACAAATATTATAAAATTAGATATAAGATAAATATATAATTAATAAAATCTGTCTGATATGTATACATTATTTGGGTAAATAATAGTAATTTGACAAATGAGCACATGCTGCTTTGTGGCATGTGTAGCCAATCATTTGTCAAATTACTATATTCAACAATTTGCCCAGTATTGGTGTTATCTGGTAATTTATAATTATGATTGGTAGGGACTTTCAGTCTTCAAAAAGAATTATTAGGTTGCTTAGAATTTAGAGATAAGTTTCAAAAATTCTGTTTTACTTCAAGCTTTAATATTTATAAATATCCATTATGTATAAATTTGTTAAAGAGCAGATTTATTCTATTATAATTCATCAACAACTAGGGATGGGAAAAAATGGTTTAAACAGTTTTTTAGATGTTTTAAAACTTTTTAAAAAACTTTTTAAAACATTGGCGCTGAGACTAAAAATTAAAATTTAGGTTAAAATACCGATTCACCAAATTTCAGAGAGATAACTTTTAAGAAAAATATTTACTTTATAAACTTTCGTTATTATATAATTACAAGAAATGCGCAATTGTTTAACTATATATATATATATTCTTTCTTTCTTTTTTTATGAACGCTCTTTTAATACAGTATAATTTAATGCATAATTATAAAGTCAATTATCAGTTATCATCGACTTCGAACCGACCATCAATCTCAAATTCTTTTTTGAATTCTCAAATTCTGATAGACTGCAACAAGTTTTTTTACCCGTTCATTATCTAGACGTGCACGATGTTTATTATGAATATACCCAAAGTTAGACCAGCAACGTTCTGCTGCACTGTTATCTCATCTTCATTTGAACCGGAGGCTTGAGTATCAGCATTATTTAATAAATTTTTCATACTTTTTGGAACCTTTTTGCATCTATATAAGTGATCCTTTAATCGAGCGACTAAATCCACAAAGTTCTCTCCACAGTAGTTACACTTTTGGCTTGCGTAGTTCGACCAAGTTTGTCAGTTTCCGTAACTTTGTAAAGTTCACTTTTAATGGAGGTCTCCCACGGAGCATGACTGTTTATAATTTTATATTTTAATGATAACGATAAAGTTGTATTTTGACGAAATTAATTAAATAAACACTACCCCATTGTTACGTATATGATTACGTCAGAATGTATTAAATTATTTAAAAACAGTTTTAAATCAAACAATCATGTTTTTAAACATTCCGTTTTAAACCATTTTCCATCCCTAACTGGAGCCCATTACAACGTACGAACTACCCAACTACCCCAGCAGCACAGATTCATAGAAAATTCTCAGCCAATCAAAAGTTTCCGTTAGTATATTATACTAACAGCTAATATTCGTACTAATACGTAGCTGAAATTAATACTAATGTTCGTACTAATGTTAATATTAACGTTAATACTAACATTTGTATTAACGTTAATAGTAACATTTGTATCAACGTTCGTTTAATGTTCGTACTATTGTTACTATCGTAGGGAGAGCTTTTCTTTAAGATCGGCTTAATTTAGCTTGATAGTAAGCTATATTTTATTATAATAAATTAGTATTCGTTTATTTTAACCAGCCACGGCACATGCAGGTTAGATTACGGGAATCGGGATCGGGCTATCGATTAATTAGATTAAATCTCGGTAGCGTAAACAATAAAATCAGATCGTCACAATCAGGACGAATTTAGGATAATAGTTAAATAAGGATCAAATAACGATAAGTTAATAATAATAATGCGGTATGATAGTTAATGATAATAATAATAATACTAGAGTTTTTATCAAGTTAACAATGTATAATCAGTCAATTCATGTGAGAAATCGATTCTTATTATATTCCAATAAACCAAGACATCGAAGTCTGAAAACTTTATTAAGAGGGCGAAAAGACACCTCTTTTATATTTTCAATTTTTATATGATTTTACTTTACATCTTTTTGACTGAAACTGAACTCTCAGGGTCAGAACCCTTCGGGGTCAGTACCAACCCCCCAAGCCCAATGGCTTTTAACAAAAGCCTACTTTCCACAATGTCTTAGCCTTTCTCTACTTCTTTCCCCAAATCTATTCTGTCAAAATAAATAAAGTAATAATAATAATAATAATAAAAGAAAAAAGAAGAATAAATAAAAATGACGCGATATCTAGGGATCGGTTCTGATACCCAAGCCCTAAATATTTAACTCTGAGCCACACTCTTGTTCACGATCATAGTCACAGGCAAAATTCCTGTGACACACTCCCCTCCTTTACGTGAGCTCCCGCGAATGTCTAATTACTCAAGATTAGATGTTCGATTTCTGCATCATGACTCCTTCGGGCTTCTCCTAATAAGGAGGCAAAGTCCACTGGGTTCATTTCTCCTAGAGCATTGGCAGACAAATAAAGAGAGGTTATTATATTATGAGCATCTTGGGCCTGGTATAATTCGTAGGTGCGACGTGCCATTTGGCACATTCGCTTATATCTGGTCTGGGTAATCCGTTGCCTTAATTTGCCCCTAGCATAGGCATTCCAATTAAACATGGCCATTCTTTTTCCCAGGAGATAATAGTATTTGAGCATTTTTATTCGATCAAGCTGGCAGAACTGGAGTCTAATACAAAGATAATCTATTTGCTGAGACCAGCTTTCCTCTTCTGGCTTTTCAAGTTCTAGAGCCGGATCCCCTAACCTCTGGAGATCTTCAGAAAAGCGAAACCTCTGAAGTTCCCCTTCGGCAAATTCATTAACACTTGAATTTATTTTTACCAGCTCATTATGGTCATTTAAGAACTCCATGGTAGTATCAGTAATATGGATCGTGGCCACCAGAGATCTAATATATTCTTGCACGCGGAAAAGGTTCCTAAGTAAAGGGATGGTAAGTTGAAAGAATTCCATAGTGAATGAGGAAGAAGGTCAACTTCAATGGTATTTATAGGAGTTTGAGTTCGTAGAAGAAGAGGCAGTGTTATATCTCTTCAACCGGTTTCCATGAATCCTTTTTTTAAGAACTCTTTCACTTTTTACAGGCTTATCATTTAGAGTGGGCTTTATCGTCCGCAATTTATAAGAACTATTGCCACATACTTCATGAATGTAGTAGGGTTCTGTAAATTTTGGCTCAAGCTTATCACTGTATGACATATCTAACTATGTCTCGTATAACATCACCTTATCACCTATTCGGTAGGTCTCAATCTGGTATTTCTGATCGTGATGAGCCTTTTGTTTGTTTTGAGCCTTTTTAATATTTTCTTGGGCTTGGTTTCGGGCATCTTCCAGGTTCCCTAAAAGAGATTCAATCCTTCAGGAAAGATACTCTTGGGTCTCAACTTCAGTAGTCGGTTCGGCTGGGTATGTGGATATGACTGTTTTAATTGGTACTATCATATTATGGCCGTAGACTAAAAAAAAAGGCTCGTATCAGGTGGTATGGTGTCGCATAATCCGATAGGTGAATAGGGCCGTTGAAATGAATTCGGTCTATTCTCCAGCGTACTGTCCAATACTTTTGGCTAGTACCTCATATAAGGTTCTATTAAATCTTTTTACCAGCCCATTTGTCTGTAGATGTTAAGCAGTAGATGTATGGCAGCGAATTTTTATCTTTCTGCAAAGAGCATCTACTAGTTTATTACAAAAGTGAGTGCTCTAATCTGAGAGTAACTCACGAGGACTTCCGTGTTGGCATATAATGTCGTCTAAAAGGAATGAAGTGACCGTTTCGGCATCAGCACTCTTAAGTGCACGTGCTTCTGGCCACTTAGTAAGATAATCAATGGCCACAACAATGTATCGATACCCTTCTAGCGTCACCAGAAGTGGTCCTACTATATCAATATCAACTCGATCGAAGGGCTGACCTACTTTAATCGGATGTAAAGGTTCTCGAGTTTTAGGTTTTCCTCGCCTTTGACATGTGTTGCAAGTTTCGATGTATCGTTTCACATTGTTCTCCATTTGAGGCCAGTAATACCTAACCATTATTCGCTGATAGGTTCCTTCCTTTCCGAAGTGCCCTGCTAACGGGTCGGCATGCATAGCATGTATTATAGGTTTTGTTTCGTGGGGTTTTAAGACTCTTAAGGGTCTGTCAGGATTTCGGGAATTAGTCTTATATAGCAATTTACTTCGGATGAAGTAATGTCGGGTCTTGTGTTTTAAAACCTTATTACTATAATTTGGAGGTACTTTAGACCTGCTAAGGTATTCTATAAAAATTTTGTATGTTTATAAGTCCATAATGTCTGTCAAATCAGTATATGGGTTATCCGAAAGTGGCGTCAGTTTGGCGATAAGAAGAAAGTCTTTAAATTATAAGCCTTTGGCCGGTTGGTTTAAATTCGGGATAAACTATTGGCGTTAAGGTAGAATTTTCCTGACTTATGGATGGTGGTGAATGAGTACTCCTGCAAGGTCAGGATCCACCTGGCCTGTTGATTTTGGGGTAACCGATGAGAAAACAATGATTTTAGTGCCGAATGATCGGTATAAAGAGTAAAATGGGACCCATATAGATAGGGCCTAAAATAAGAAATGGCCCAAACAACTGCAAGGCATTCCTTCTCAGTTACAGAATAATTCTTTTCTGCTGAAGTTAAAGAATGACTTGTATATGCTACAACTCTTTCTTTATTTTCAGAATCATTTTGAGAAAGAATAGCCCCCAAGGCTATATCCGAAGCATCGGTAAAAAGGATAAATAGGCACACAAAATCGGGGTAAGCCAAGATAGGAGTATTTACAAGTCTATCTTTAAGCTTTACAAATGCATCTTGCTGCTTAGGGGTCCATCGGTACTTAGTATTTTTCTTCAACATAGCATTTAAGGGTCCAGCAATTTTAGTAAACCCTGGAATAAATCATCGGTAGTATGATACTAAGCCTAAGAACCCTCGTAACTGCCGCAGATTCCTTGGAAGAGGGAATTCTTGAACAGCTTGAACCTTCCCAGGATCAGTGGATATCCCTCGAGCGCTTACCACGTACTCAAGAAATTTAAGTTCCTTCTTTACAAAGAAGCATTTTTGGGGTTTAATTTTTAATCCGGCCTTTCTTAACCTTCCTAAAATTTCCCAAAGATAGTCAAGGTGCTCTTCAAAAGATTTAGAATAAATGTTTAAGTCGTCAAGATACACGACGACAAATTTTCCAATAATGTCCCTAAAAATTTGGTCCATTTACCTTTGGAAGGTTGCTGGCGCATTCATTAGACCGAAAGGCATTACGTTAAATTCAAAGATGCCTTGTGGAGAGATAAAAGCAGTCTTAGGCTTATCCTCTTCCAACATTTCGACCTGCCAATATCCACTAGCAAGGTCTAACGAAGTAAACCATGACAACCCATTTAGAGCATCCAAGAGCTCATCTACTCTAGGTAAGGGATAATTATCTCTTATTGTAACAGCATTAAGCTTCCTATAATCAATGCATAATCACATTTTTCAGCCCTTCTGCTTCACTAATACCACAGGAGAAGTTCAAGGGCTACTCGAGAGTCTAATAATATCTTCGGCCAACATGGTCGCTATTTCTCCCTTCAAAAACTCCTTCTCTGCTGGAGAGTATCGGTATGAACGTTGCTTAATAGGCCAAACATCCCTAGTAGGAATTTGATGGTAAATAATGTTACTTCGTTCTAGTTCATCAAGACTTTGGGCACAGAGATCCTGGTACTCATTCAATAATAATGATAACTGACTTTGCTGGATCTTGTCTAAATCGCCAATTTTATATTCAATACCTATCTGCGCCTCATTTTCGTAATAATAGTCAAAGAGGTCAGAAATAGGAATAAATTCTTCTGGTTGCGAATTTAAATAGATCACTGGCCATAATCCTTGAAATTCACTTTGTCTATCACTTTGATTTTCATTATCCTCCTCACTATTCCATAATAGTTCGCTATCACTATATTCTATCCATCCTTCAGACTCCCTACTATTCTCTTTATTAATTTCATCGTCTTCCACCAATTCTTCGATATCAGCCTCTACTTCAGAGTAGGCAAATATTTGTTCTTTCAATTCTTCCTCTTCATACTCCTCTTCCGAATCTTCTTCACCCTCCTTATCATTAAGCTCTTTAACCACAACTGATCTTCCTTCTTCCAAAGGTACCGTAGACATCCTTCGAAATTCCACAGGGACAATAATTTCCTTATTATCCCATAGAAGAGTCATTTCAGATGTATTCCAATCAATGGTCGCATGGGCTTTTGCTAGCCAGTCATTACCAATAATGGCGCTATACGCAGTTGCATCAGTGACAATAACATCAATAGGAATCTCGACTCCTCCAATACAAAAGGGAAAATTTGAAATTTCTCCGATCGCCCTTTTACTTTCTCTATGAATATTGACCATGCTTACTACAGAGGGCCTTTCTATTTAGATCCCAAAGTTATTTAACAGGTGAGAGGTGACCATGCTTCCGGACGATCCACTATCCACTATTAAAGGGATCTTCTTACCAAGAATAGTAGCGTCGCAATACAAGGCCGTAAATTTTGCAGTAGGTTGAATATTAACATTGCCTTGAGCCTTCTTTCGAACAACAATTCATTTCTTCTGTAGTGACCGAGCCAGTTCTTGCTGCATATTCAGCGCAGCTCTAAATAACTGGCCATACGTAATATTGGCAGCCTTGTCTCTGATATCTGCTACTATGGAATAAGGGGGGACCAAAGTAGAAATCTGTGGCAATTCTTCTTTCACATTCTTCTTTTTTTGGGTAGGGGTTCGTTTTGGTAATACCTTCAGATTATTATTTTTAACCGCATCTAATTCAGGTTGTCCTCCAGGATTTCTCTCATGCTCATTTTGTCCTTCTTCCATTTTTACATCTGGATCTGCCACTTCTTCAGTTTCGACTAGTCCTGTGGAAGTGCCCATGACTTGTCCATTCTTCTTTTTCCAAAGGATCGGAAAGTTAACAATGGGTCTCTTGCGAACCTGTCATTCTGCTGGAAGAAATAAGGCCTCATCACCCTTAGGTATACCCAAATACGAAGGCTGACTCTGAGAATTATCAGAATTATTATTAAATAAGGCCAATAAGGCCTGAAGAGCGTCTTGAGAGTTCAACCCATTGGCAGTCAGGACATTTTGAACCGGGGTCATCCTGACAGAAGTAGTTTGAAGAAAAGTTGTTTGTACCAGGGGCCTATTATTTGTTGGGGCTAGTAAATCGGGACATTGCCAAACTATATGTCCAGGACGTCCACAATTATAGTATATTATCCCTGAGTTTGGTTTGCAGGTGCCCCTAGTTGTCAAGGTCGGTAAGGTCTTCTTGGTTCTTGCCGTTGAGTCATCATCTGATTAATGGCTTCGGTTAGCCTATTTAAAGCATCTTCAGTCCCATTTTCATTTGTATTTGGAGTTGTTACTGTACCTATCATCCCAGGAAAACCATAATAGGAATGAACTACAGGCTGTCCCAAAAGAGCAGCATAAGTGGGACTTTGCTTATAGGCACTTTCAAATACCTTTGCTCTAGAATACGTGTCTTTAAGAGTGTTAGGGGTTAAGGGGGATACAGCCATAAAAAGTTCAGGTCGAAGACCATTGATAAACATTTGGGCTTTAGCGGTATCAGGGTACTTATGTCCTCCGGATTCTACTCGTCGAATCATTTCTTCTAAAACAGTATGGTAATCATCTACACTTTCTCCCGGCAACTGTTTCCTTTGCGTTAATTGGGCGAACCATTTCCCTTCCAAGTCTGGTGTTCAGAATTTAGTGACGAAATGGGTGACAAAACTTTGTTGAGGTACCATAGGATCATGCCATCTATCAATAATCGGTTGTTGTTGTCTTCTTGTCGCCCACCAAGTCACTGCCGGGTCTCTGAGTTTCGGTATAATTACAGGAATCTTCTGAGGAGGGGATATGAGA